GGTGGAGGTAGTTCTCATTCCCAAAAAGAAGATAAAGGCACTTATCATCTGCTTGGGGCGTCAAATAAAATAATTTTTTTCTGATAAGCAGCAAGAACCAACACCTTAGAAAATGAAAGAAAAGAGCGAGACAGTACCATAGTACAGTGACAAATATGCCAGATTTGGAGTAGGAGGGCTTCAGCCCAATACCAGCTCCAGCACTTATAACCATTATGAATTTGAACAATCTCTGGGGCTCAGTTTCCTCATCCACAAAAAAGATATTTAGATTAGATGACAAAGAAGTCCTTTTGCACCTCTAGATTTATGGTCCCATTATAATCAGGCCACCTATTATAGGTAAAAATATTTGGGAGGTGGAGAATAGGGGAGATTTGAGAGAGGATTGGAATGATTTGTTTCCTTTCAGGGCTTTAGCTCTGAAAGTAGGTAATCTGAGGCAGCATGCTTTCATATATAGTGTGGTAGACTTGGAATCAGGAAGGCTCAAATCCTGTCTTGGGTACTTAATAGCTGTGTGCCCGGGTAAATCATTTAATTCCCTGAATTTCAGTTTACTTACCTATAAATTAGGAATAATTTGCACTTACCTCATAGGATTGTTGAGCAGATCAAATAAAATTATGTTTGTAAATCTTTTCAAACCTTAAAATACTGTATAAATGTAAACTATCATTATAGAGAAATTTACAGTACCAATTAAGAGCTCATCAAACTTATTTCATGAGGACTGTGTCTAATGAGGGGATGGGACTACTGGGAAGCTCTTTTCTCCATCTGCAGTCTCCCTGCTCTTGTAGGGGGTGTTTGGTTCCAAAGAAAAGATCTGAAGATGGCAGGAGCCCCTTGTCCAAAGATGTTAGCTGCAAAGCTGGCCCTACCCATGAATGCCCACAGATACTTATTGTGCTTAATTTTTTAACATCCCCCCTCCAGTTTCCCCCTACTTCTTTCTCCTATCTCCTACTTTAGATTCTTACCACTCCTTTCCTTGGATTCAGGGATCCAAGGCACAAGTAATAGAAATGAAATGAGGCTAAAGGTATAGGTAGGATTTTATTTTGCATTAATATAGTGACTATTCTTTGCTAATTTTAATGTTTGTATATACAAAGTTTATACCTTTAATAGTCATTTTCTTAGGCATTCTCCAGGGAACCCATTCAGTGGAAACAAATCTGTTTCCCCCCTACCCAAGAATTTAATTAGTTACCATTTAAGAATGGTATACTTTAAGATACATTACAGGCAGGTCATTTCTTCTCTTAAACTTTATGACTGCCTCACAAATCAATGAAGTGTATTAATAGTGGATTTATCAAGACGGTTGTCTTTATTAAACAAAAGAAAAGTGATTAAGATATTGCAGAATTTTTCCCTAAGAGGAATTTCTAATGTCTCTGTTAGGCAGCAACGTGGCACAGTAGATGGAGCCCTGGGCCTGTGGTCAGGAAGACCTGAGTTCGAATTTGACCTCAGACAACTAATACTTGACTAACTTTAGTCAAGTCCTCAACTTCTATCTGTGTGTTTACTCACCTGTAAGGTGGTCATAATAATAATAGCATCTACCTCTCTGGGTTGTGAGGATAACATAAGACTATATTTTTATAGATTGTATTAGATGTTGAACCCCTTGGGAGCAGAGAGTGTCTTTTGCATTTCTTTATATCCCCAGCATTTAGCATAGTACCTGGCACAAAGTAGGCATTTAATAAATGCTTAATGACTGCCAATTATAAAGCATTATGCAAACCTTAAAGTACTTATATACTTAAAATACTATATAAATGCTGGCTATTGTTATTATATCTATCATTTCACTCTGTTCTCCTCCCACTATTCTTTATGTACTTTACCTTTTAAATCAGTGGTGTCAATTTCAAAAAAAAAGAAAGAAAGAAAGAAGAAAGAAAGAAAGAAAGAAAGAAAGAAAGAAAGAAAGAAAGAAAGAAAGAAAGAAGCAGGGCCACAGAACTATATATAAGGATCCCTGTGGGTACACGTTAATTTATAAAACCATGCATTAACATAATCTATGTTTAATGGTGTTTTTTATTTATTTTGTTAAATATTTCCCCATTCTGTTTTCATCTGGTTCTGGCCCCATAAGGGAGTGTTCTAGGCTACCTGCAGCCCAGCCTGCCAGCCCACTGGCACTTCTGTTTTCAACGATTCTCCTTGAATCCTTTTTTTTTTCAAATTTACCAATTCCAACATTTGAAAACTGAGTGTGGTAGAGAAGCCTCTGCCAGGCAACCAGGTTTCATTCCCCTGCATTCATGACCTTGCCAGCTGCTCTTCGTTATCACCTTCTCTAAGCTAACCTTCCTTGGAATTCACTCAGAAAAACTGGGATTCCCTGCTGAAATGAGGACACCAAGCAGCCGAAGTTCCTAGGCCTTTCCCTGGTTACCACAGCCCCATTTTTTTTTGGCCTACCTTGTCCCATTTTCTTGGTTTCTAGCAAGCTCTTGGTCACTGGCCCTTTGGTTCTCTGCCTCCATTGCTCTTTACCCCTATTATCTTTTTTGCTACAATAAAAGCAGACAACCCTGCCACATTTTTTAAAGTGACCAAAGACACAGAACAATTTTTTTTTTAGCTAGGCAATGGGATTAAGTGACTTGCCCAGAGTCACACGGGTAGTAAATGCCAAGTGTCTGGTCTGAGGCTGGATTTGAACTCAGGTCCTCCTGAATCCAGGGCCAGTACTCTATCTACTGCGCCACCTAGCTGCCCCTGATTGAGCAATATTTTTTAAAAATTATTTAAACCATAATCTACACCCCCTACTTCATGTTCAAATATGCAAATATTAGACTAAGTAAATATGAAGGTGGTCAAAAAACAGTTTAGAAATTTTATTATTTTTTATTACTGAAAGGTAGTATTGAATAGCAGATAGAAGGCAAGTCTCAGAGTCAGAAGAAGACCTGGATTCGTGGACACATACTACCTGGGTGACCTTGGGCAAATCACGTAACATCTGTGAGCCTCAGTTTCCACATCTCTATCATAAGAAGGTTGGACTAGATTACCTGTGAGGACTTGTCTAGCTCTAAATCTGTGATATTGATCCTTTTATCCATTATTCTTTTCTTCCATCCTGGTATTTTTATTCAAACTTGGTGACAAATTTATTCCAACTTAGTAACAGTCTGAGGAAAAAGCTAAGACTGGGATGATGAGCTGGGGGTTGCACTAAAAGGCAAAAAAAAAGTGTCACGGTCTTCTAACAGATTAACTTAAGGATCTAACTTTAAAGAAACAGCATAATTATAAGATTTTGAAGGCTCGGGCTCTTATTACCATTCAGAGCTAAAAAATTAGTCATACTCTCTGGAACCCATCACAAAATAAACTCAGAATTTGAGGTACGTTTTGGGAATGATATTAAGCAGATTTCCATGCTGAAATAAATTATGTGAAAAGCTTGTGTTTTCAGTTTCAAGATACATAGTCAGGAAAATGAAATGTCAGTTTCCTCATCTGTAAAATGGGGATGATAATAATAGACTTAGTCCATAAAGTTGTGATATTCAAAACCTTAAAAGCACTCTATACTCCTTTGTCACCTTTCCACCTGCCTTGCTGGACTCTACCCTGCCCCTCTTCCCCTCCCCCCCCCATACACCATGCCCTAGCAAACTTAACCATTTCATGCCTGGAACTTCTAACTTGGAGCCCTGGTGAGTGCTTTATATGGTCTTCTACATCTAAGCAGCCTCCAGACATGCTTGACTCTGCTCCTTCTTGCCTGCTATCTTGAATATCCCTTTTGCTCTCTGTTTCTATGACCTCCAGTTATGGAACCAAAATCTAATGCAATCAATATTGTCATTGCTGTTTGAAAGGATGGTTCCACTCCCACTAGAGTTTTGCCCACCTGCGTGCTTCCCAAGGGCCTTGAGTTTGACACCTGTAAATTTTAGTCCAATCTCATAATTTTTTGAAAATTGAGGGACATAATTGTGCATATTTTGTGCATACAGAAAGAGCCAGGTTTTATAAGAAGAAGCAGGCATCCAATTTTTTGATTCTATGATTTCAATGGAAGAGAATTCATTTTGGGAGAAAAAGTAAAAAGAACATTGCTGGAGGCTCATTAAATCATAAATAGTTTAGTATGAAATAAAATTGTACACCTGGACCGAGTCACCTAGCAATGAAACTCTGCCTCTCAGGGGTCCATATAGTTTTCCTGACTAATGGTACCAGGTTGGGTATATCCTCCTCAAGAGGAAAGCACTTGGGGGTCAGTAGTAAAATCTTCGCATGGACCTACATAGTTCATATGACCCACCAGACTATTATGGGCAAGACATTAACTGGCTGCTTGATGTTCTTCCTCACTTACAATTCCTACTTTGAACTAGGAATTTCTCCACTGGGTGCTATTCACTTGGTATAAGTTATTTGATCAGGCAGTTTCCAGAGGGCCTCATGGATGCACAAGCCTCCTTCCAGAGAATTAATTTTGACTGCGTATTCCCTCTCTTCTCTACCCATGGTACCCGGGGTATCTGGGTAACTGGGGCTTTCCAAAGTTGAACTCTCTCTGTGCCTCTTTTAAAGTTCAAGTATAATTCAAGTGTGTGAATTGCCTTTAAATCAATCATCAGTAATAATTAACATAGTTTCAAGGCAGCAAGTATCCAGGGAAAAAAAAAAGGCAAAGAATTCACACCGTATCCAGGAGATAAAACCAATACCAGAGCAAAGTCCTCAACAGTGAGAGCAAGAAGACTTTACACCTCATCATGGAGTTGGTTTTATCAATGGAATTTCACACTTTATCAAGCAGATGATTGTCAAGGCCAAAATAAAGTCCTAATCAGTGAAGTAATAAGTACTTTACATCTCAATGAGAGAGACTTCTGCAATACTAGAACAAAGGGTCAAATCAGTAGGAGGAGGAAGACCTAGGTCAATGACTAGATATGCCCACTCCCAGTAAACATTAATAATAAATATTATAGGAGAAAGGATAGAGCCCTGTGGACCACAGTTCTTCATAGACAGGAGTAACCAGGGCAGGTTTCCTGGAACCTATGGGATTTGATTTCAGTTACTGTGTAAAATTTGAAGGAGGAGAAAACATGCTGGAGGGAATGATGCACACAGTGAATCACCACCAATGTGGAGAACTGAAAGTATGTTAATTAATGCCTGATTTTTGGGGAGGAGAAGAAGGGAGACATAAGGAAGTCTATGATCAATAGGAAAAGGTAGTCACTGGGGAGCAAAAAAGAGAAGACAAGATTTGAGAAGGAAGGTAAGTGCCAATTCAGATATTTGGTAGATGTTGATGAAAAGATGAAAAAAGTATGTTTCCTTATAGTACTGTAATGGAAAGGAAGTGTAGTATGGTGGAAAGTTCATGGGCTCTGGAGTTGGTGAGTCAGGATTCAAAACCTGTCTGATATTTACTAAAACCTGTGTGAACTTGGCCAAATAATTTTACCTTTCTGGAGCTCAATTTCATCTGCAAAATTAGACAGTTGAACTATATGGCTTCTGAAGTTCCTCCCAGTTCTAGAACTTTAATCCTAGAATGCATGTCTAGACATTTGGTAAAAGGAAAAAATAGATTATAAGACTTAGCACTGGAAGAGACCTTAATGAATATCCAGTTTTATACCCTCATTTTAAAGATGAGGAAACAGACCTTGGGTAAGTAGTAAGAGGTAGAATTGAGAGTAGAACCAAAGTCTTTTGACTGAAAATTCTGTGTTCTTTTACCTACATTGAAGCTTAACTGTATTTCCCATTTCATTTGATCTTCTAGAATAAGGTGTCAAAACTTGTTCTGAATTATATTGGCAAATCAATCAGACTTCACAGTGTCATAGATGCAGAGATGGAAGGAATCTCAGAGATATAGAAGGGGAAATTGAAACCCAAGAAGGTTAAGTGACTTACCCTGGGTCATATAGGTGGCAAACATCTGAGATGGCATTTGAATTTGGGTCCTCTGGCTCCAAAATCAGTGTTCTTTCAGTGGAAAAATTATGCCAGAGGGAATGACGTACACAATTAATCACCAACAACATGGAGAACTTGAAGTATATTAATTAATGCCTGATTTTGAGGAGAGGAGAAAAAGGTAGACATAGTAGGGAGATCTATGGTCAATAAAGGAAAAGATAATAACTGGGGATAACTAGTAATAACTCAATCCACTCATCCAGGCTTTATCACTACCCAATTAACTCTACAGTTATCTGAGGAGATACATTTAATATTAAATTATACTCTCAAAGCTATGCAGTTTGATGCATCACAAAGACTCAAGTTCCAGTTCAATTTCAGACACTTACTAACTGTATACCCCTAGGCAAGTCACTTAATTTCTTTCTGCCTTAATTTCATCATCTATAAAATGGGGACTATAAGAATACCTACCTCCCAGGGTTGTTGTGAAGACTAAATGAGGTAACATTTGTAAAGAGCTTTGAAATCCTTAAAGTGCTATAATTTATATAGCCATAAGAATAATATATATACGTACATATACACACGTAAATAATAGAAATTAGCTGTTATTATTGTTGTTGTTATTATTAATTTCTACCACAGTAACCCTGTTAGGGTTACATACCATATTTTACCCAGACAATACATTTTTCTAATAGCATTTTTTCACTGGAACCAATCACTTGAGTAAGCAATGTTTTTTCCCCCAAGGCATAATGGAATACTAATCCAGTTGAGGGATAGGGCTGTCCCTAAGAATCTTTTGGGGATGCTTTTTTTTGCCACTGTAAATTGCAATAACGAATGATGTTAACAAAAGTAGCATCATTAAAAATAAAATTAAAATTAGTTATTTCACAGAATCATAGAATTTTGAAAGTTAAAATGAGCTTCAGGGGTTACCTAGTCCAATCCAGACCTATTTCTAGAATCACGAGATGTAGTCAGAAATACTTAAAGACTCAAGTCTTTTTTCTTCAATTTTTAAACATTTTTATTTAAAGTTTTGTGGTGGATTTTTTGTTTGTTTTTTTTTGGTTAGGCAATGGGGTTAAGTGACTCATTTGTCTGAGACTGGATTTGAGCTCAGGTCCTCCTGAACCCAGGGCTGGTGCCCTATCCACTGTGCCACCTAGCTGCCCCTATTTAAAGTTTTAAGTTCCAAATTCTATCCCTTCCTCAACCACAACTTGTCCAGCCATTTCCCAACTGATGGGCATCCCCTCAGTTTCTAATTCTTCACCAGCACAAGAAGAGCTTCTGTAAATATTTTTATATAAATAGGTCCTCCCCCCTCCTTTTTTATCTCTTTGGATACAGAGCTAATAGTGGTATTGCTGAGTCAAAGGGTATGCACAGTTTTATAGCCCTTTGGGCATGGTTCCAAATTGCTCTCTACAATGGTTGGATCAGTTCTCCACCTCCCTTCCAACACTTATCATTTTCCTTTACTGTCATAATAGCTACTCTGATAGGTATGAGGTAGTACTTCAGAGATGTTTTAATTTGCATTTATCTGATCAATAGTGATTTAGAACATTTCTTCTTATGACTATAGATAGCTTTGATTTCTTTGTCTGAAAACTGCCTTTTCATATCCTTTGATCATTTATCAATTGGGGAATCACTTGCATTTTTATAAATTTGACTCTGTTTTCTATGTATTTGAGAAATGAGGCCTTTATCAGAGATACCCATTGCAAAATTTTCCCCCAGTTTTTTGTTTTCCTTATCATTTTGGTTGCAGTGGTTTTGTTTATGCAAAACTTTTTAATTTTATATAATTGAAATTATCTATTTTACATTTTGTGATAGTCTCTATCTCTTGTTTCATCCTAAATTCTACCCTTACCTATGTATCTGACAGATAAACTATTCCATGCTCTTTTAATTTGCTTATGGTATCACCCTTTATGTATAAATCATGTACCCATTTTGACCTTATCTTGAGAAACAGTGTGAGATGTTGGTCTATACCTAGATTCTGCCATATTGTTTTCCAGTTTTCCCAGAAGTTTTTGTCAAATGATGAGTTTTTGTTTGAAAAGCTTGGATCTTTGCATTTGTCCTATACTACTATAATATAATTTGTACCTAATCTATTCCACTGATCCACCACCATATAGTTTATAATATAGTATAGTTTATAATATAGTTTACTTTATAACATAATTTGAGATCTGGTATGGCTAAACCACCTTCTTTCAAATTTTTTTTTCAGTAATTCCTTTGATTTCCTTGAGCTTTTGTTCTTCCAGATGAATTCTATTATTTTGTGTAGCTCTACAAAATAGTTTTTATTAGTTTGATTGGTATGGCACTAAATAAATAGATTAATTTAGGTAGAATTGTCATTTTTATTATATTGGCTTGGCCTACTCATGAGCAATTAATATTTTTTCCAATTGTTTAGATCTTAACTTTATTTGTGTGAATAGTGATTTACAGTTGTGTTTATATAGTTCCTGGGTTTGTCTTGGCAGGTAGACTTCCAAATATTTTACATTGTCTAAAGTTATTTTAAATGGAATTTCTCTTTCCATCTCTTGTTGCTGGACTTTGCTGATAACATATAGAAACACTAATGATTTATATGGGTTTATTTTGTATCTTGCAACTGCTAAAGCTGTTAATTATTTCAAGTAATTTTTTAGTTGACTCTTTAGGATTTTCTAAGAATAATATCATATCATCTGCAAAGAATGATAGTTCTGTATCCTCATTGCCTATTCTAATTCCCTTAATTTCTTTTTCTTCTTTGATTGCTATAGCTAACTTTTCTAATACAATATTAAATAATAGAGGTGAAAATGGGCATCCTTGTTTCACCACTGATTATATTGGGAAGACTTCTAGCTTACCCCCATGGTTTTAAATAAATGGTTTTAAATAGATGCTACTTATCATTTTAAGGAAGACTCCATTTATTCCTATGCTCTCTAGTGTTCTTAATACTAAAGGGTGCTAAATTTTGCCAAAGACTTTTTCTACATCTATTGAGATAATCACATTATTTCTGTTAGTTTTGTTACTGATATGGCCAATTATGCTGATAGTTTTCCTAATATTGAACCAGCCCTGCGTTCCTGGTATAAATCCCACCTGGTCATAGTGTATGATCCTTGTGATTTATTGCTATAGTCTCTTTTCTAGCATTTTGTTTAAAATTTTTGCATCAGTATTTATTAGGAAAATTCATCTACTATTTTCTTTCTCTGTTTTGGCTCTTCCTGTTTTGGGTATTAGCACCATATCTTTGTTGTAAAGGAAACTTGATAAGATTCCTTCTTCATTTATTTTTCTAAATAGTTTCTATAGTATTGGGATCAATTGCTTTTTTAAAGTTTGGTAGAATTCGCTTATGAACCCATCTGGTCCTGGGGATTTTTTCTTAGGAAGTTCATTGATGGCTTGTTCAATTTATTTTTCTAAGACTGGGTTATTTAAATATTTTGTTTCTCTGCTAATCTGAGTAATTTATATTTTTTGCAGATATTCACCTATGCCATTTAGATTATCAAATTTATTGGTATATAATTGGGGAAAATAGCTCCTAAAAATTGTCTTAATTTCCTCCTCATTGTCGGTGAATTCTTCCCTTTCATTTTTGATACTCATAATTTGGTTTTCTTCTTTCCTTTGTTTTAAAATAAAATGAAACAATGGTTTATTTATTTTATTCATTTTTCGTAAAACCAGTTTCTAGATTTATTAATTAGTTCAATGGTTTTCTTACTTTCAATTTTATTAATCTGTCCTTTGTTTTTCAGGATTTCCCAACTGTATTTGATTGGGGGTTTTTAATTTGTTCTTTTCCTTGTTTTTTTTTTAATTCCATGCTCAATTCATTGATCTGCTTTTTCTCTATTTTATTGATATAAACAATTAGAGATATAAAAATTCCCCTAAGTATTGCTTTGACTGCATCCCATAAATTTGGTATGTTGTCGCATTTTTGTCATTTTCTTTAATGAGATTATAGATTATTTCTATGATTTCTTCTTTGACCCACTTTTTTTTTTAGGATTAGCTTATTTAATTTTCAATTAATTGTTCATCTCTCTTTCCATTGTCTATTATTGAATGTAATTTTTATTACGTTATGATCTGAAAAGGATGCATTTACTGTTTCTGCTTTTTGGCATTTGGTTGTGAGGTTTTCATATCCTAATACATGGTCAACTTTTTACATAGGTGTCATGTACCACTGAGAAAAAAAGATGATATATTATTTTCTATTCCCATTCAATTTTCTCTAAAGATCTATCATATCTAACTTTTCTAGAATTTTATTCACCT